CTCAGAAAAGAATCTCCACATACTTTCTAATTCAAATTGCATTTCATCTATGCAAAGGCTTGTTTCACTGTAAGCAATTACTGGAGTCCACAAAACACTGATGTGGTCAATAATATGGCATGGCACAGTACTCCTCATTTAGCCATGATTCTCAACAGTGATGAGTACAACAAATTCTACAATCAAAGTACGTGTAAAACCTCAAATCCTCAATGAAATTTAAGTTTCATGAATAATTCCCATTAGCTTAACATCAAAATATCCAACATAAAAAATGGTAAACAAAGAAACAATAAGCATCAATTGTTTAGCATATGAGATATAGAAATGGATAATCCAAATAAATATGATAAAATTAGACTGTAAAAACATGGAAGTTGATCACATATGTTTTTCAGTAAAATGCAGGGTATACAGTTTCGAATAATACCGCCCGGTACGGGTGATACATACCAGTCCGACAGATTACCGGTACGCAGACCGCCCGTTACCGGGCGGAAAAGCGACCTGTATTAGACGATACAAGGTTATATCGAGCGGTAACAGTCGAAATTTCGACCGTTACTGCCCGACACAGCTTGGTAATGGTCGAAATCGACCGTTACAACTTGGTAACAGTGCTCCAACGGTCAAATTGACTGTTGGAGCCCCTTCTCATATGTTTTTAAACCCTTCTTCTCCCTTATTTCACTCCATTTCATTTTCATACTCTCTTAAACTATCTCAAACTCTTTTTTTTCTCACATTTGTGCTCTCCTAAACTCTACAAAACAACGATTTGTGAATTGAATCGAAGCTAATTTAGGAAGATTAAAAGGAAGAACTTTCTAATCAAAATGTATGTATTCTTTTTTTTCAATTAGAGAGTAATTAAGATCTTTAATGTTATGATTAGTGCGTTTAATATTGATCAATTCAAAATTAGATACTTAATAGGTCAAATATTTATATTTCATGCATATTAAATATTGAAAGATATTTATGATAGTAAAATACGAACTTTACACAAGACTATTCTTCAAAGCCCGAAAAAGATAAGTGATACTATTCTTACCTAATTTACATTGATTTTGCTAAACTTATACTATTACTATATTTATTTCTAACTTAAAAGCCCTATCATAACTTTTTTTTTTTCAGGTATTTTCGGAGGATTTTACACCTAAATTAGGTGTACCACTCGGTATGCCCTAGCGTACCGCTCGGTATACGGTACCGTACCATACCGAACCAAGCTCGAAACACCGATATGATACGGTATTTCAATCCTTGGTAAAATGTACGTATAAAAATGACAAAGGTTGTTGGTTGTTCCCTTCCCAAAAATCACAGAAGACATTGAAAAGAATCTGACATGACCAGCTGTAATCTTCTATCTCGAATAATAAACTAGATACATATTTGCAGGTCCATTTAAGCTGGTTGGTGTCCGAGAAATTGCCCAACAATCTCCAGCCTCGAGAAATCTATTAGTACTCAGATCTTTGAATAAGTAATCGCTACATATAAACTTGCAACATGAATAACAAATATAAAGGTCAAAGACAAAAGTGTAGTAGCAACAAAGTCAAGTTTCAAGAATTGAAGTGTCACTGAACTCCACCTCTTATTGATTGTTATGTAACAGTTCATGACTGAAATTCGAATACAAGATTAGACCAATTGTTTCAAACTATATTCTATCAGGAAGGATTGTATCACTTCACACTATTCTCATAGTAAAAAGTTAAGAAAGAAGTAACAAAGTGCTAAATCTTTTCCACTTGAGTTCTTGAAAATAAAGATTAGCTTTTAACCTGCCATTACAATAAATGCATGCTTTTTGGCAAAACATTTGTTGCATTTCCAAGGAACCAATCCGTAAAAGTAGCCTCTCGACCACACAAACCTCTGGTGAAACATGATAATTTTCTCGAATCCTCATTAGGTAACTTCATTGTGGTCCAAAATCATTAATTTTTTTTTTTCTGATAGAGCACCCATGATTCGTGTCCCTTGATCATGACAAGGTTTGTAGCATTGGGATAGGAATTGATGTTAGTGCTAGGATAGGTCCAGGGATTTGAACCAGGATTGGGTTAATATCAACCTAGGATTTAGAATCAAAATCAACTTAATCAGCTAGATTTGTTCGATCTTAAAATCATAGAATTGAACTAAAAAAGATAGGTTTAAACTAAAAAAAGAACAACACAAAAGAAAAAAAATAAAAATCATGTGTAGCAAGATATTCTAAAATGTAATTCTTTAATGTACAAATATCGTTCTTGGATTTGTGAATAGCTAGGAACATTATTTTGAAAAAACCAACAAAAATCCTCTTAATCTTCCGAATGCACTACTATGGCTTTGTTTTTTGCATTGAGTTATTCATCATAGCAGTTGGTCTACATATTCCCTCACTATTCAAAGGAAAATCAATCACTTGATCTTACCATCAAAAACCTATGTAATTCACTAAAACTCTCCTCTCTTTCATACTCAACTCTCACTCTTTTTTCACATTTAAACTCATGATAAATCATTAGGAACTCTCCTCAGTCATTGAAATGCAGGAAGCTGCTACCAACAGAATGAGTCTAGTGAGCTGCAACAAGCACATATTTATTCGCTCCTCTTTCCCTCATCTCCAAGCAATTGGAAGTCCAGACATCCTATATCAGTATCATTGCCATTAGCCTCACCTGATCCTCCTAATCTCGTACAACCCCTTAATTCCTACAAACACCTACCTCAAGTGACTACCAATTTAACTTTAGCAAGGAAGATCATGGCCACAATTCTCATGAATCCCTCAATATTCCATTTCTAAGCACATTCACTTTAGATATCTCCATTCATCTAAATAAGCTTTTGAAACACAAAAAAAAAAAACCAAAGAGAAAAAGAATGTGCCATCATTCAGTTGAGGCTTTGAACCATCTCTTTGAATGAAGCATGTAACACAACATATTTCAAGATAACTTAATAAAGAACTCTAGTCCATTGTTTTAAACATATGCCACTTTACTATTATATGCTCTCGTTATAATTTTTGTGACAAAAAACTCTTGTAAGCTTTTTGAAGAAAATACCCTCCAAATCCTGAATTGGGTAATTGTCACACATCCCTTGACTCAGTAAGACACGAACTGAGCACAACTAAGTGCAGAAAAAATTCTTTGCATCCAAACTCCAAAGAATACGTCTCCACATCTCACCAGTTATGTTTGCATCTCAATGAAAATCCCCACTAATTTGTGTGCTGTTTTCCAAACTTCATTGATTCCTTAGCATATAAGACAACGACAAGCTGTTCTTCTCTTCAGGAATTATAAACAAGTCCATTCAAAACAAATGAACAAAACATCAAAAAGATATTTGACAAGCATCTTTCTGATATATTTAATTTCACTTAATTAAACAAAATTCATAGTTCAATCTTAACCTCCCTGCTCATGAACTCAAAACTTCAAAAAGAAGTAATAAACAGACCAACTAGATGTTAAAGCAAATTTTAGATGACAAGTATACATAAATGAATGTGCCAGCCATATGCCAAGATTCAACCTGTTGTTTATACAAACCAAGCAAACACCAAACAAGTATGTGGTATTAGCTACATGCCAAGAGCTCTCTGCATAAATCCAGGCACATACATGGAATGGTGAGTATGATGGTATGTATGGCAGTACATATCACGTTACTGTTGGCTAGAATTAGCATGACAAGCAGTATTTAGTAAAAAAAAGACTGAAACATGGTTTCAGATATAGAAGATTAGGTGGACAAAAAACGTAGTACAGATATGTTGACCACACATATGGTTGATAGGACAAGGTTAAAAACAAGGTATCAAATATGAAGACGTATCAATCAGTATTTCTTAGTCTATCCTTAATCCTCATAGTCGTATGTGGTACATCGACCATACCAAAGCAATACCATTGCATAAATATACTTTTAATATTATTGTCCCAATGGTATACATACCATGGTTCACCATACGATCAATCCGACTCAATTTACAGTATGTTAGGTGCATAACAATATTTAATTTTTTTGAGTAAAAGTATAGCAGTACCTCCAAAGCATATGAATTGGATTCAATAGTCAATACTATCCACAAATGCAAGTATACTTGTCAAATAAGTTATGGCTAAAGCATATTTACACATTTTTCTTGTGCATTTTACTTTCCACAAGTAAAGAAACATAGAATTTTGTGGATACAAAGTAGCATCCAAATATCAGAACCACACAAACGTGTTTGTTAAAAAAAGAATAAGGTCAAAAAATAAGAAAGCTTCGAGAATGAACTTAATATGTCAAAATATCACTAAAAAGAAAATAGCACTCTGCTTGAGAACATATGCCAACGGTATACAATGATTTACCATCATAACAAAGCATGAGCATCATGTAGGTACAAGCAACCATTTTTTTTATGTAATTAACAAACACAGGAATACCGGATCAATGCATAAAGCATTAAAAGATCACACTTAATATTACAAACAGATAAAAATAAAGTAAAAGTTTTCACAATTTCTCCTTGTTTCACCTATCTACTCATGAAACTTTTGAATGATTCCAAACACCATAAGTATCACCAGAAAGTTATCAACCTTCATAAATGCCCTTTCAATTGATAGACATATAGAATTTGTTAGATTTCAGAAGCTATACAAATTCTGATCTGAACCCTTTTTAGAAAATACACTTCACCCCTTGGATTGCCTAGCTCATCAGGGTAGCAATATAATGGAAAAGATAAAATCAAATTATTACAGATTGTAGTTTGTCATTGGAGCAATGTGGATATAGTCTGTCTATAACTCACCATCATGGCCTCAAGCAAGTCCATAAGCATAAAGGGTGCAATAGGAATAACATATAAGGGAAAGGTGATAATTCTGTATTTAACCCAAACTTGGCTTTAATCCAACCTCAATTTAATACCAATTAAACTGACATCTATGAGTCAATAATAACATGGGCACGTGCCAAAGAATCTAAGATTTGCAGAACCATTTATGATATTATATTGCTAATTATCAGAGCAAGGAACAGGAACAAAAGCAAGTTCCACATGACATCAACCTGTCGTCCACGGTTTGCATGTCGCCATAACCCATAAGCATGACCGAAACCATAAGCACGAGGTCCATGACCATGGTGGAACCAATAAGAATGCTGGCCATGACCATGGTGGAAACCATGAGCAGGCAGACTGTGAAATACATTGGCATGGCTGCCATGGCCAACATCATTGGCAGTTGCATCCTGAAACATGAAGTTTCTCTGATTTATGCTGGCCATTTGATTCCTAGCGGCAGCAGAATGATTTGCAGGTGCATTTGGGAATGTGAAGTTCCCAAGCCTCGTTCCAGCCAAGTGATTTGAGGCCATGACCCATGGCTCATGATGATAGATATGGTTCATGTTACGATGATAGATATAGTTCAAATCGGGTTGCGGTTGCAAGGCTGTCGCCGGCGTCCAACCAGCCGTGTGATGGATATGATTCATGTCATGGTGATATATATGGTTTGCATCGGATGGCAGTTGTGGGGCTGTCGCCAACCTCCGACCAGCGGCTGGACGGCTGGGAATGTCCACACGAGTAGTCGACCTGGACTGAGGGTGCGCGGAGCTATTTCCTCCACAGTAGAGAGGGACGACCTCCTCCTCCGCAACAGTGGCCTTGCAGACAGGGCATTCAGAAGAGCGGGAATGATCATGGAGCCATTCGTAAAGGCAAGGCCAGCAGAAGAGGTGACCGCATAGGGTGACAACGGGCTCCTGCGCCAGATCTAAGCATATGTTGCATTGGAAATTTCCGGCCTCCCTGTTGCTACTACTGCCACCAACCAAGCAGCTTTGGGAATCTCCATTAGACGACTCGCCAGATCCACTGCCCATTTAAAATCAGCACAAGAATCAAAATTACATCTTCACGACGCGACATTACCAACAAGAACCGAATGTCCTAAACTCCAAGAAAGAATTCAACGAAGAAAGGACCAATCTTGAGACTGAAATATCAAACCCTAAGTCAGACGAGCACCAAAAATTGAGGCCAAAGCTCAGACTTTTCCTTCACGAGCATAGAACCAAATAGGCCACAACTCACATGCCAAGCACCAGTCAATCGATCGACCAGGAAAAGGCCATGACTTGCAGATCCAGTTACAAGCAACGAAAGAGAACTTCTCCAGAAACCAAGAACAACACATTACAATCAACAAAACAGAAGTAGCAGAGGCAAATGCACAAAGATCCTACGAGGGGAAGGGAGAAGAGAAGAACGAATTCCGTGGCGAGGGAGAAGACTTCCTGCTGCTTTTGGATTCTTCTACCGACTCCTCCATCATTTGGTCGGAGTTCATCGTGTGCATTATAAGCGACACTTCAGAGACATTACAAAGCCAGCGGACAGTGACAACAGTTGGGGGGTAAATTTGCATATATGTTCCTCCAAAGTAAGTAATTTGCATATATGCGCTTGCAATTAATCTCATGGAATTAATTATATTTGACATAACTCTATTTTTCTATTTTTTTTTCTAATTCTCATTTATAATTATGATTAAGTGTATTAAATTATTCATTTTGTCTCAAAGAAAATATAAAAGAGAAAAAGTTGAATGAGGTGCGAGAAGAGGAAAATAGAAGAATAGAAATGATGTGAATGGAAGGGTTTATTTGGATTATTGAATGTGTTACTTATAATTATGGATTATGTTTTCAATTAAGAGGTGATATTCCTTTTTAACTAATAGATTTTAATCGTAGAGAGTTAAATATAACTTATTAGAAAATTTGAGGTGTGAATTAGAGATATGGATAAGAGAAGATGGAATAAGAACATTACAAATATAAAAGCCATAAAATAAAATTTTCTTTAATGGGTTATGGAATTATGTAGTCCCCAATTAATGATTGATGCATTATATTGAGAGTGGTCGAAATAGCATATTCTTGTTCGTCGAAGAAAATAAAAAGACTATAATCTTATTTTATTTCTCCAAAGGTCTCAAGGGAAAAGGAAAATTTTTGTTATGTTGATAATTTTTTTCATTACGAGGAAAGGCAAAAAAAAAAAAATTAATGAAAATATGATTATGAATATGATATATTGTTATTATGTGAAAAATTTTAATGGTAAAAATACAAAATCAAATAACAATAGATCTAAAGATTATGATGCTTATCTTTCAATATTATTTAGAAATCATTTTCTCACATCATCATCGGATTCAAAATTTATAGTGATGTCGATTGGTGCTCATCTTTCCTTCTCTTCCTATCATATATCATACAGAGTATAAGTAATTAAAAAAATTTCTCCCATTAAACTTATTTCCTAAGTAATCCTATCATAATATTTTATCCGATAATCATCAGAATATAATCATATCCATAATATATCTTATCTAATTAAATAGGATCAAATAATTTAATAGTCTAAATAGCATATTCCAAACAAAATGGAAACAAAGAGAAAATAAGAAAGCTAAGATCTTGTTTTATATCTCTAAAGGTCTTAGCGGAAAGAAAATTTTTTGTTATATTGATAATTTTTTTTCACTATGAGGAAAGGTAAAAAATAAATAAAATAAATATATTTTTGTTATGATTATGAATATGAAGTGTTTACTATATATATATATATATATATATATATATATGCTTTTTATTGGTAACTTAGGCTATATATTTATTTGAAAATTCTCTAAATTTTTATTTTTTTATTAAATCTCTTTTTTATTTATTCTTATAATATATTTAAAAAATGATTAAATTACCCCTACATCGGCTTGTTGCCCATCGCATTCGCCTTTCCATGCTCCCTCTTGCCATCATCGTCACCTTCGCCACTATGAGGCCCCTTATACCATCTTTATTGGCTTTGCTATCATGAGGCTCTCATCCTATCGCATTGCCTTTATCCAATGCCCCGCCTTCCTTAACATCTCATTGCTCTACTCATTATACTTTTCCTTAACATTGTCATCTTGATTGTCAATCCTGCCTTAGCGATCGCTAAGTTTGCTCAACTCATCAGCCTCTCCAAGCCTCGTGTCACCTTTGCCACCTCTAAAATTCTTTGGGCTTTGCCTTCGATCACACTTGCTTCACCATTTGTCATCTTGTTTACTCCCTCTTCGGTTATATTGCATAGAAAAAGGAACGAATGCATGCTAGTGTTGAGCCCACTTGCCTCATAAACTTATGGATATAAAACACAATGTGTGAGATTAAGACAACCATGGATGACAATTAAGGGCAAAGTGAGTCGAGAGGAAGGTGATGATGATAGGGTCTCACAACCGGCAACAACAACCGCAATGATAAAAAGCAAGAGGTCAAAGAAAGAGAGGACGAGAGACAAGAGAGGTGAGATCTGGTGGTAAGGCAAAGGCAATAGGTGGCAAGCGAATCCCTTCCCAAAGAGGTGAAGAAAGGTTAGCACAGAATAATTTGGTCTTTTAGAAAAAAAAATTTCATAGGAATAAATGAAAAAAAAGGATACTAACTCGTGAAAAAAAAGAATAAACGGCTTTTAAAAAAAAATTCCTATATTTATTGACTTCTCATACATGTATATTACATATACATTATGATCCTCCATTTAAGACATGCAATTGCAAACAAAAAGTATTAGACCTAAATATAAAGATCATATTAATAATGTTCAATAATTTTTTAAAACATAAAATAGAAATTATAAACCTACAACACATGATGAAATATCATAATTTTGAACTTAATGGCATAATTATGATGATATTTGATATTAAAAGTCATGCATGAATAACATAAATTTAATACTATAAATCATGGATGAGACTCTACTTATATAGCATTCATGAACAAAGATTAATTGGGATTTAGGTTAAATAGGTCTTAGAAATTTAATCGAAGTATTATGAACAATAAACCAAATCATTACATTGTTATTATCATGTTCGCCAAATACATCGGAAAATTAAACCAGTTAATTGAATCAAGAATCAATTGTGACTCGGTACCATCCAAATTTTCGAATTATTATTATTATTATTATTATTATAAAAATTATGGATTATTTAGAAAGAGAAATTTGGTAGTCCATATTAATGTATTCACTGTATTCTATTAGCTGACGTGGATATGTGCAAATGCATAATGACACCATTGAGTGTGAAATATAAATTGGAGTAAATGTTCTTAACCTAACACTTCAGAGAAACAAAGAAATGGAACATTTTGTTGTACTTAAAATAAAAAGATGATTGTTTGCATTTGTTGATACTATTTCCTTATAAATATATAATTAAATTTCGAGATCATCAATTATATTCCTAAGATTTTTTTTTTAAAGTATAAGTGACAAAAATAAAATTCAAACTCAAAATCTTACGATATATTATAGAAGTCCTTACCATATCTAAGGTATGAATTTTAATTATTTTTAGATGATCAACATATAATATATATAATCGTGATGAGGATATTCATCAAGAAGGATAAAAAAAAGATGGAAATATTATTTTCATTTGTTTAGTTTGGATGTAGGATAAAAAAAAAAATGAAGATGTAAATATTATGGTTAGAGGAAGGGTATCAATTGGTACAAATGAATCTAAATAGAATCCTAGAGAGATGTAAAAGAATTTCTTTCTAAAAATAATATTCTTGATTTGATTAGAGATATTTTTTATTGCAGAACATAGTGAGTATCTTACCCTATATAATTGAGATATTAACTCTTTTTAAGATTGCAGTCTAAGCTAAGCATTATTTTTCCTGCAAAGCTCTCTAACCAATATTGTCTTTCTATGAGGGGAGCTTTTCTTCTCATTTCTTTTTATTGTGCAAATGCAAATACTACTTCTGGAGTCTCTAAAACTATTCTCATCCAACTTTTCATGTATGTTGCAAGTGTGATGAGTCCCTCTCAACGCCTGTAAAGGTGAGCAAAAAAGTAAGGTAGCAGATGAGAGATTCCTTGTTCTGTGACCATCACTTCTTTCCCCCATGATAGACAGAAAAGTTCATGGGATGATCTTTCAAGGCCTGAAAGGAATGGATGTGTGACTCAGAGAGGCAGCTCTTTCATGTCTCAAACATCATGCATGTTCTTGAGTGTGCAAAATGGAAGAAATCAGAATCAAAATTCCATTGTAATACAGAAGGTGAAGTTTGTTTATCCATTGATGAAATATAAGAAAAGAGAGTAGTTTAAAGACCTATAGAAGGATAAATTTTGCTTCAATAGATACAGATTAGCTTTGATCTAATTGAACAAAAGTTTTTTGTGGTCAGAAAAAATTATGAATCATTTGGTTTAGAGAGCTTTTAACTTCTGATGAAAAAAGGACAACTTTAAATTAAGATTACATGCAGCATGTATACTGCACAGCACTTGGTTATAGGACCTGCATATATTTCATTTGCAAATCACATGACATTACAAAGAAATAATGAAACAAAAGAGATGAAGATAGTTTTGGTAGAATGGAATTTGTGGGACTATGAACTCATTGTCTGGACTTCAGAAGTCAATAATACATTTGTTGGATGTTTTACAAACAATGTGAAGAATCTTTCAACTTTTGTCTTCTTTGTCCACAAATTGACATCACACCTAAAAGGATGACTTATGGCATGGCATGACATTCTAGATATTTAGATGTGCTTGGCCAAAAGACAAACCTATCAAATAGGTGGCATCCAGAATAGTTGATAATTACCTTAGGAATGAATCATTGCAAAGGGTCAAATCACCTAAAAGGATAAACATTCTTGCTTTGGTACATCCTGGCTTTTTAGATGAAGTTGTTGTGTATATTTGTATTGCATTCTTATAGATAAGGTACAGCATAAAATTTGACTTCAAATTATCCTTGACAAAAATATCAATAATTTATTAATAAATGAGACTAGGTGAAATAGTTTTCCTTTGGAATAAATAAGCAAATGACATGTCAATATTTAGATGATGCATTGCTTCTAGAGAGCATGCTTAGAAGTCAACATTTGGCTGTCATGTGTTTGATCCTAATTAGGCACTGGGTTATACTTTTCATTACCTATGTCAAGAACTTTTTTTTTTTTTCTGTTTACAAAGTTATTAGAGTGCTAGATAATATAACTTTATTTCATAAATAGGAAGATTACTTTCATGACTCCAACCCTAATCAATTTTAATCTCAAAGTAGGAATATTGTTTCCAAGTCTTGAACTATAGAAATCCAGCTCACAATCAAATAATGGTACTATGATGTCAAACATCATCCTCTTAGTGTATAAAATAATTGACAACTAAATCAACTAATTCAATTTATTAAACTCTACCTTGAAAGAGACTCCAATTGTAATAAGGATTGAGACATTTGACAATAGTAGTTTTTTTTCTTTATTAAGAGTCTACACTTAATAAAACATTCTATCCAAATCAAATTCTGTCAACTATCAGCCAAAACTTTTGGTTGGTATGCCTGATCATCACAGCAGAAATTTCTGATAAAGATGTTGATGTTGCCAATTCATGATTCCTCAACTAACTGTTCTCATCATCAATAATTGGTGTCTTCAAAAGTTGCTTCCAAGAGTAATTCTTAAGCTTCAATGAATTATTGTGTTTCAATGTGAGGGATTCTTAAACTTTTATTGCTAAGCAACAAAGCTGCTGTTATGGCTCTTTCAGGTTGAATTAAGGAGACTGGAACAAGAACAAATCAATTAGGGGACTTCTTTTGTTACTTGTCATCAACTCAATGGCTACTGAAAGAAAGCTTGAAAGTTCAGATATCTTCTAAAAGTTAAAAGTTCAATGATTCAAATCAAAGTTTGTCAACATTTGCCATTAATTACACATCATAAGAATCTTACATGGATTAAGTTCATTACAACCTTTGCAAAATAAATTGCTAGAACTTATCCAAATTAGTTGAGTGAGTTGACATGAGTGCAGCTTAAGCTACAATGTGATTGTTAATTATGTCATCTATTGTTCCTTTCATCAGCTTGTAATATAGAAGTCACATAAGATTATTAGGGACTAAATCAACACCAAAACAGAAGCACATTGCCATTCACTTTGGATTTGATGTGCAAGTAATATTTCATTAGATAATGGTCAACTAATGACAAACAATTATTTAATTCCTAGCTTCACTTCCCCACAAATAACATTATATGACCTCACACAATAAAGTGAATAATAGAATAACATGAAAATAATTCTTTTGTGGATTCTTCTAAATGTTCCATAAGTATGTTATTGAGCTCATATATGCAATTTTTGTAGATACTATTTATTTCCATTGAATCACACATCCAAGAATTTTTCTAGACTAACATATACAACATAGCACATCACTTGATTGGAATGTGGAAAAGAAAAAGAAAATATCTTTTATTTCCTTATATTTTCTTAATTCCTTTATTCCCCAATTATTACTTTCTAAGTTATTAATTATCACTATAAATACTTTTTATATTTCTTTTCCTTTATTAACCTTAACCACAAATTTACTCTTACAATAGTCCCCATCATAAACATTCCACAAAAAAAAATTTTGTGTTTCATATTTTTATTTTTTTAAAAATATTATGCATGCTTAGGTCAGAGAAGTACATCAGAAAAGCCTCTATCTTGTTGTCATGCCACATGATTGGCTTGCATTCATACACATCAAGTCCCCCTAATCTTAAAGCACAAACACCTACTGAGGACCGACCGATACCCACCACACCACTTTGATTTCCATCGTGTTCTTCCTCTGTCCCCCATTTATTATATTATCCTCTTGTCGACGATATCCTTTTTTTAGCCTATGGATTATATTATATGATTCACATATGTATTAATTATATTTACAAAACGGTAAAAAAGTCGGTCCAATCCGGTTCGATGGAGCCGACTCGGGTCGGTGTAGACCTAAAAAAGAACGGGGTGGAATTAGAAGAGGACGGTTCGGTAATAACCCGTGCCTTTCAAGAAGGTTATTCTCACCACCGTTGTCTACGGTCAGCAGTGGGCCGTAAGGGTGGGGCCCGGGTTTGTAGACCGGTTGACCAATAGACACGCCCCTTCACAAAGAGCTTGGCCGTTAAGAATACGCCGCCACGTTGGTTCGGTTCGTCCCCATGGGAACTGGCTCGTGATTGGATCGATAGCATCGTGTCATGCCATGTCATACGTACGTTGACGAGTCACGTGTCATCGAAGCTCGATGGCCGTGACGCGTCCCCGTGGAATATGGTATCCCATCGCTACCCCTGGTCGCTATATATCAATCGATGTTGTTTTACCTAACGCCAAATTAAGGCAGAAGCAACCAACGGAGAGAGAGGCCGGTTGGGATATCCAATTCCATCGTTCATGATGATGGGGAACGTCGGTGATGGCTGGAATCGGGGGATAACGTATTGGCTGGCGGAACAGCCGGCCATCGTGGGGTTCCGGTGGAGCCACGTTTACGCCTGGGGCGCCACCTGGTCCTTCCTCGTCTCCTCCCTCGCCGCATACGCCGCCCTAGCCCTCGCCCTCGACCTCTTCCTCCGCCTCTTCCGCCGGAGTCGGCCAATCCCCTTGGGGCCCCTTCCCGCCCTCCACTCCCTCGCCATGGCCCTGGCCTCCGCTGCCATCTTCCTCGGCCTCCTCATCTCCGCCGCCGCCGAGATCCGCGACGCCCGCTGGTGGTGGCGCGGCCGCTTCCGCACCACCGCGTTCGAATGGCTCCTCTGCTTCCCCCTCGGCACCCGTCCCTCCGGTCGCGTCTTCTTCTGGTCCTACGCCTTCTACCTCTCCCGCTTCCTCCACCTCCTCCGCACCTTCCTCTTGATCCTCCGCCGCCGCCGCGGCGCCCTGCCCAGCGTCTTCCGCCACTCCGCCCTCGTCTGCATGTCCTTCCTCTGGCTCGAGTTCTCCCAGTCTTTCCAGGTCGTCGCCATCCTCTCCGCCACCCTCGTCCACGCCGTCGTCTTCAGCTACCGCTTTTGGGTCGGTGTCGGCCTCCCCGCGGCCGCCCGGAGCGGGGCGATCCTCGTGCTCGCCTGCCAGGTGGCGCTGACCGGCTGCAACGCGGTGTGCCACCTGGGGTTCCTCCTGCTCCACTTCGCCAAGGGCGGGTGCAACGGCATCGGCGCCTGGGTCGTCAACTCGGTTCTCAACGCCGCGCTGCTGCTCCTCTTCGTCGACTGCTACGTCAAGACGGTGGTCAGGAGAAAGAAAGGCGAAAGCTTGGAGGATGACAACGGCAGCAACCACCATTTCGGTGGCCATCATCATCACTATCAGAACAAAGCTGAATTCTTTGAGACGAAGAAGGAGCAATGAATCATTTAGCGATCTAATGAAGAAAAAAGAAGGGGGAGGACTTGATTCAGCCTCAGTAAGTTCTCTCCTCTGTATAGATTAAAATCTTCTTTTGTAACCAAAGAATTAGAGTTCAGATATATGATCATAATAATTGTAGGGGAAGAAACAAAATTATCCCCTTTTAGTGTAGATTCAACAACTACATCAAAATGAGTTCCATGAAGGAGAGCACTTGATTCTGCTCCACTTGGTTCTATCTGTATACAGATCAAATAAAAAATTCTTCTTGAATCTTTTTTGTGCTTTTTCAACCTAAGGATTATAATTTTTGAGAATTTTGAGGGGAAAAAACACAAATTGATCAATTCAATTGTGGATTCCTGTGGCCATACTGATGCAAAGTGCCCCAAAATCACTGTTGTTTTTTTCTCTCTATATTTCTTTCTTTCTACCTAATTGGAATCAATCCTCTGATTTCATCAATGTGTGTGGATGACATCTTTATTTTGCAGTAAACAAAAGAATTTGCCCCTGCAAATACTACAACTATAGAAGCATCTCACTCTTCGAGTGTTTTTGGTCAGCTAAGCTATTAGTGTCTTCCCAGATGGATCCAAACTTGGGGCTCTTTTTGCTGTACTTGTAAGCAACTTGTTCTGCAACCTTGAGTACCATAGTCGGTGCCATGCCTCTTCTTCCACTCCTCTGCTTCGTCTGGAAGAAAAGATGAGACTCCAGAATGTAAACAATTTTGCAGAGAGAGAGATAGAGAGAGAGAGAGAGAGCAACAAAAATCTTCCGTTGCATGTAATAACTCTCATGTTTTTTTTGCTTTAATGCACCCACATACCCACACATCTATCTACAAGAACAACCTTTTTGGTTCAGTTCCAACAGTTTACTTGCAGCATTTAATGGTGGGAGGCCATTGGGACCAACTCAAGAGCACAAGATAGGTAACAACAGAGAGGCAAATAATAGTTTAAGCTTCTCCATCACATAGTTTTCTTGGCAACTCTGTGACAGGCAAATAAAACAAAATCTGAAGCATGAATGACTGTTTTTGCCTCTTGTTTTCTCTGTGTTTCTTCCTCTTCTCTTCTGTATCACATCTTGTCTTTTCTTTTGATTAATTGATGGACCAGCTACCTCATCCTTCCCTAAGAAAACCTGACATATGTGTATACTTAATGGTGCCCACATACAGTGAAATCTACTAGAAATTTGATCTTCTCCATTCTGGTGGACAAGAAAGGAGTCATCAGGACAGAATAAAGTTGACCTTCTAGACCAACACCAACTCAGCTGTGGAATAAACCATGTAATGGAAGCAAAGGTTGAGGGAGTCAAAGACGCCAATATTGACCATTGTGCACCCAGTCACAGATTCAGAAGCGTAAAGTCCTTCCCATTGTGTGAAGTTTGGGGGATGCATGTGTCTTTTCCAGTGAGAAAAGAGATTCTTTGAATTCTTTCATGTTCAGAAACCTCTTTCCCCTTAGATTTCGATTCCATCAATGGCTATTGTGATTTTAGCACTGTATTGAGTTGAATGGTGATTCACTTGTTCATGCCTACTCATTATAATGAGATGGAAGCAGTCGACTTGCAGCAGAGTAAGGAAAGAAGAAGACTCCCGTTCTTCCAAAGAAGTTCCTTCTCACTCAGCTCAACGTCGTCGAACAACACTAAATCTTCCTGGAGATTGTTTCACCTGAGTTTGGTTCTGTTTTGTGCTCTGACGAACAGAGCGATGGTTTGTTTCAGACTGCTTGGTTGATAATGTAAATTAAAATCATGTCTAATCTGCAAGCTTAAGATCTTAGATATAATGAATCATATGATCTTAGAATAGAAATTAAAATCACGTTATGAAGGTGATTGCTTCGAGACATTAGACATTGCATCCCTGTTTGGGCGAAAGCATCAAACAAAACCACCACATCTTCGTCTACATTCTAGCCGAACTTTAGCCAAAGCATTCGAGACAAGGCACAGATCAAAGCACAACCTAATCAACCATTCTTACAGATCCAATATATACACAGGCAACCTCGTCCTTGGCCATCACACAAACGATCTCGCCCTCCTCTTTGCTCCCGCTACACAGCTCCTGCTCCTCCTCGCGAACACCAAGCTCGACCCGACCTCGACGTCGTCATCGAAGCTGAGACACGGCTTGTCCTCGTCGATCCTTCCGATGGCCAAGCTTTGGCTCTTGCGCACCGCCGGCGCCGGCGCCGCCCGACGAGGCAACGTGCGGGCCCGGGCCAGCGACGCAGCCCATATCAGCTCCCTGAGGTCGTCGTCGTCGCCCGCGATCGCCCTCGCCGGCGGGAAGCTGTAGTTTGTCGATGCCAACGCCGGGTACGCCATCGCGGCACCATGCTGCATGTGGTCAGCGAAGGCGTTGAGGCCGCGCACGTACATGTCGCGCGCCCGGCACAGCATTCGGAGCGGCGCCTTCATGCAGCGCCCGAGCCGGCTCGACGTGCCCATGACTGAAAGCTCCTGTTACACAACTGTAGAAGACGAGAGAGTGGAAGAAGTAAGGGAGAGCATAGAAAGAGTAGGGGCATGAAGTGGCTGGATTAATATAGAAAAGAGGAGGCTCTTTGTGTCGGATCAAGACAGGTTTTGAGGATTCCTTTTGGATGTGAAGGGATGAGGATAAGCACGAACGAGTTGGCGGGATTCGAAAGAGCAGTACCCCAAACCACGGCTTCCGAAAAGCCACACCGACTCATCGCCGCCCCCAGTTTTGCAAGCTACAGCTCCACTTTAGTACAATATAGATAACATTGTGGGTGAGGAAGAGAAGCTTTCAGAACCCAAAAATCAACGATTCTCTCGTGATTTAACTCCAAATCAAAATTCTCGAGATTTATTACCCTCTCAAGTAATATATCTCTCTCATCAGAGGCTTTATCTGTCACATTTTTGTGGAGCTAATATGTGAGGTTTACGCCCAACCTCATGAGATTACCACACAGAAAAGAAGAGACTTCTGTGACGCTACGGCCAATGACAGGCGTCGCTCCCACCCTGCGAGCCATTAACTATTGTTGACTGCTATGAAGAGACCATATGATATGATGACGGTGATTCTTTCACTTGAAGACGTCGAAATGCCATGGCCGGATGTGTTGCAATGAGGAGATGGCGATACGTAGCTTGACATAAGCCATGTATTATTATGAGTTCATCTCGTGTTATTCTGGAAGATCGAAAAGTCGAGTCATTGTTCGCGTGGTCATCATCAACAAAGGTGGGAAGAAATAATTGACCTTCAGTGATGTGGCACTTTGACGATGCATGACGTGGGGACTCGGCAGTCTTGCTATGACCATCGCCGCCGCCGCCGCCGCCGCCGCGGCGCTTACGTGATCGGGTCAGCGCCGATGCACCTCGTGACGGTGATCTCTCAGCTTTCTCCGTCCACACCACCTGATCCATCTCTTTCCCACATTGGCCGCGCAGCGACCTTCTCTTCTGGAATCACTACCCACCTCCCCGGAGAAGACGCGAGCAAAGCCGTGGGAGAAGCCCATCCCACCGCCGCCACTGGCGCAGGCGAAGGTTTACAGGGTCCGGTGCTGCACATGCGCCTCGGCAGTACTGCCGCAAAGCTCAGCCCAGAATCCAATGGTCGTCATATGGGCTGAGCAGCCCATTGACCGAAACCATGGCTTAACACAACAAGAAGATGACCTTTACGGTTTCAACGGCGTGGTCAGCGCCAATTTTGCATGATCCATAGTGGATGCTTTATGTGGAGTATTTACCAGTAAATAAAATATAGATAAATAAATATATCTTTTATCAGTGTTCATAAATGATAAAATAAATGAATAAATATGATTTGGATGGAGAATAAAATGAGAAAAAAAATATTTAAGATAAGATGACTATGGTATAAAGAGATCTATATAATTATGCCAAGACAAGAAAAGGAAGGCCAAGAATTTTACTAAAATAATATAAATAAAAAAATATTTTCTCTTTTTATTCGACCCTAAATAGATAAAATTTTTGAATCGTCCTTAGCATTTTGGACATTGGTGCTAATTTAGCCAAACTCCCAATTGTTTTATACGGACACCATCAAATTAGCTAGATATAGTGTATCCCTCTACAACTGAGAAGTTTGTGTTTTAGGGATGCATGATAGCCATTGAAATTGTGAATTATTGATATGTGACGATTGAGCGAAATACCAAGTTCGATCGATTGTCATGTATTATTACCCTGCATTACTGAGATAAAAGAGAATGGTGTTAGAATGAGTGGACATAGATGATGATGCCGAGTTGACACTAACATTATGCATGAGTCGACACGGTTTGGTTCGATTTAGAAAGCATAAGTTCATCCGAAGGCCCATGGGAGGTCACACGAGGAGATTGGAGTGAGAAGTAGGCTGGTTGGCACGATCTCAAGGTGTTGCTTGTTTACCATAGATAGATTTGGTGTCGTTTCAAGGTACACTTTAGCCTCGTCGAAGTCTTTACATAAGCGGTTAACGTCAGGGGATGTTCCCGACCCGACCTCTCCGATGGTAAAATTAGTTGAGAGGTAGAAATAGTAGATGTGCTTGTCATTTTAGGTTTTGGGGTTGGCTTTTATACTTGAGTGGTTGATGGAGTATGGTCGATAGTTTGTCAAAAAGCTCCTCATGTCGTCCAAGGGTTCATTTATGTCGACAACTTGTGAACATGTCTATCTAAGGGTAACATTAGGGAAGGACGATTGTGAAAATATCGTTTATCAAAACTAGAGATTAATGCCACTTGAAATGGTCCCTAGTATCGAAAAGGGGGACAGGGCAATGTCGCTTGGGATTAATGCCCAATATAGTTCGCTTCCCAAAATCATGGCGGGTGACAGGTCGCTTGCGATATGTGACGTAAATAAAAGAGAAAATCAAGTTTTATTATCGAGGATTAATAGATACTGTGACTGACTTGTGTGACCCTCCCAGAAAAC